GGAAACATGTGCTCAAACGTTTTCGCGCGGGTTCCCTCAAACCGATGCGATTCGCCAACGTTGCCTTATAGCCTTTGAAGTACTCCTTCCTGACGCAGGTGCTGATTGCGGCCATGGGGCTGTCCTTGCCAAAGCGTTCCTCCGTGTACTTGGCTATTGGCCAATTCGCAAATAAGCCATCGATGACCTGGTAGTTTACCCCCGTGCCGTAATAGGAGCCGAAGTACTTGTTCGTGAAGATGTACTTCTCTGGATCGTTGCGATACTTCCCATTCAATGAGTCAAAGGCAATGTTCCAGTAAGGCAGGGCCTGTGACAAACACACGGAACACACATGAACGCAAGCCTATTCGGGGAGAGGCTGCAAACCGTCTTGTGCATCTGTTAGCCACACGCGCAGGGGTCATCCTGAGGAGTCATCCTGGGTCTGTCTCAAATTCGGGGAACGGCCCCTCAGAAGCCAATTCTTGCTATTTGGGGTGTGTGCAGTTTTCACCAGAGCTTTGGCAATTTATCCGAAAGCTGACTCAGAGTTGCGTAGGGCGGCCGCTGGCGAGAGCGATTTAGAGTTGCGCAGTGCGCTATCGCAAGGTGGTAAGGTGGTGTCGCAAGGTGCTGTTGCAAAAAAACACGCTCTGTACGCTGGTCCATTTCTTAGGGCTGGCACTACGCCCAGCGTCACTTGCCAGGTTGCACCTAGGGCTGCCTTAGGCTCGGCATAGGTCTGGTATCTAGGCGCACTGCTGCTATAAACAAAAACACCCTCGACAAACACAAGCCCGACACTCACATCAGTTTTGCTTCGGACCTCCCTGCCTCGATGCTGGGATCAACGGACAGCATGGCCCGCTCATACTTCAGCAGCAAGGCGCGGTGGAAAGTCATAAATTGGGGTCCAAAGTGGCCCTGGTCACATTTGGGGTCCGTAGTGGCACAGGAGTGAAGGAAAAGCATGTCATCGTGATTGTGAAAGTCTGGGCCATACTTGGCCTGGCCCGCTTCAGTCGTCAGCGTCTTGAGGGTCCAGAAGGCGTTCGCCACCTTCTCCCGCATCTCGTCGCTCAAGGTCCTCCACTCGCGGCGCACCCTTGGTTTGTTCTTGAACTTCGGGCCTTTGCCACCCAGCAAGTCCCAAGACTTCTCTGCCTTTTTTGCACTGTCTGAGTCCGCGTCGCCACTGGCGCTCCACCCTCTGGCGCCGCCACCGAGCGCCGCCTGCCTGATGCGCTTGCGCCCAAACAACTCCAACAACTCGTCAACTTTGTGATGGTCGCCGTGATGGTTGCGCGCCCAAACACCGCCCACCAAGATCAACGCAACGCCCGTCGCCAAGAAGGTGCAGGCTTTCCACCCGCGGCAATGATTTCCTTTGACGCTTTTCCCGTCAAACTCGGGCTCGGAGGTGGGAACCCGCTCCATGCGAGAATGATTGGGACACCTACCCCGGCTACAGCTGAGTGCGTTGACTGTCAAGGGAACCGATAAAAATGCTACGGCAGAAAAGCAATCCGCAATCTGAGCAACCAGCAGCGCTTCTCGATTCGAAAGCTGTAGGCGCTGCGTCATGCCTTCAATTCTGCTAAGTCAAAGTGTGATGGAGTAAAGACTACATCCCCTTTTGCATGCAAGTTGAGTTGGCTTTCCTGTCGCAGGGAATATCTCAGTAAGTGGGGCGGAAGCTTCAAAACAGAAATGAACAATAATTTGGAGTACGATTTGTTCCTCCCTCTCTCTTTCTCTTTCTCAGTCTCTTCCTCCTCTCATCCCTTTCTCCTTTACCGTTCTCAACTCCAAAGCATCGCGAAGGGTCCTTCCGCGCTTGGCCCGTAACTTGCCGCAGAAGAGCCACTTGCACAGAGTCGCTTGCGTTGAGCTATTTGCACAGAGCTAGCTTGCGCAGATCAGGCGCGGTAGTGTGGGCGTAGTCTGGGTGCGAATAGTTTGTGTAAAGAGTTTGGGTAGGGAGCTCCTTAGGTCAAGCTCTCGGGTAGAGGGCTGGCATAAAGGCTCGGCACTAGCAGCTATGAATTTTCTACAGACGCTTCTCATTTGCAGTGCGCGTGGAATTACAAGGTTTTATTCCCGCGCAAATTTGAACAAGTTTCACGTTGTTCGTTGTTCGAAACTGCGCTTGTGACAACATGACCCTTGGACGCTTGAGCCATCTTGAGCCTTTTCAATTCGTATTTATTCAGCAGCCATGTGGCTGGGTGGGTGGAGGGAACTCCCTCGTTCGAACACTTTGGAATTGTGAATTTCTTGGAGAATGGTTGAACAGGGAGACACGGTGGGCAGCCTTACACAAGCGGGTGTTGACCGTCGACTGGAAAAAACCATCGGTCGGTTGGAACGGGGGTTGCAAAACTCCCATGGGAGCGCGGCGTTTTTGCACGGAGTTGTGGTGGAGGATGTGCGCTTGGCACAGACTTGCAAGTTGAACTAAGCGTTGCTCTTCCAACTCATGCAACAGTGGAACAGGAACCAAGGGGCTCTGGCGATCGTTTTGGCGGAGATGTTCCAGTTGTTATGCAAGATTTGGACCGATGTCAATGTGGTTCTAACCAATATCGGTACAACAGCTTATTCCTCTCTTGATGAACCAGGTGACTGCGAACATGTTGTTCTTCCACGTGTCAGAATTGCGCTTGGTGGCAAAAGCTTTGCAAGGGCTTGCAAACTTGCAAAGTGCTGACCACCGTTTTGATTCTGTTTTGCCGGTTGACACGCGCTCATTGGAAGAGTACATGAGCCTCCTTCGGGAGGGCGTCAAGAGAAAAATGGAAAACAAAAGCCAAGAAGCAATCCCGCAACTTGGAAGGTTGCGAAATCCGATCACCCGAGAACCTGCTGCAGGACGATAGTTGCCACCAGTACGAAAGATACGCTTGCGCAACGATTCTGTTCATGATATATTCACGCGCCCGAGCAGTATTGAGGAAGATATGAAACCTCAGCCACGCAGGCTTGCTTTTGTTGATCATTGCGCCCAATTCATGGAGTTGGGAGCGGCGTTTGTGGGCGCCTTTTCCTGAAAAGCTTGCGATCCTGCCCCAATACCCTTCCACAGGCGCCTGCAATCAGGGGCTTTGAAGGGGCCTTGGCGACATCAGGCAGGGATCGTTTCATCCTGATCGCTCGAGGTCGGGGAATGCTGTCGAGGAGCCTGTGCAGAATTTCTTTCCATAAATCCGCCATCCCGGAGGTTTCTGATGATCAGGTTGAAACAGAGTTTCAAAGAAGGAGAGACAGCTGTTGCTGAAGCTTCGCGCAGTGAGCAGCAGCAGCGTGTCGTCCTCAGATTCCTCCTGCGGCGGTCGCATCATCAGGTTGCGTGCGATTGCTGTAGCGCGCAGGGGTGCAACGCTGACATCTCCTGCGCAGATCGACCAGTTGCACTTGTACACCAGTTCCATTGTGAGAAGTATACTCAGTGTCTAACGGTGTACTTGCAAAGAGTAGGTCGCCGTCTGCAACGGGCAGCTTTTTGGCAACTTTTCGCGCCGTACCTCATGTTGTTGTTGTGGTTTGAGAACGCATTTTGACTCACACCTTCTCCAGGCCACTTGCTAAAGTGACGCTGGTGGACCCATCCACTTCTGCGAGCACGAAATGCAAACGCGCTGCAACGTTCGCGCGGTTGCATTTTCATGCGGGCGCGATGTCGTCTCATCCACGTTTTGTACGTTTTCTACTTAACTCATCCATGCCATGCTGTCGACATCTACGTTTTTCCCTCTGTGTGCTTGCACCTTGAATCTGGGCGGTCGCCATCTCTGACCAGACGAGACACGCGAGCTGTCTTCAAAAAACTTCGCATCCGGAGCTCAAGGCTGGAGGCTCTCGGTCATGATCAAAGCAACAAGCAAATTTGCAAGCAATCATGGCGCTCCGCGTTGATGCGTCCTTGCTCTTGTTCTTGCGAACCCAGCAGGCGCCGAGGAGCGGATCAGGCGGGCGCCTTGCCGCGCGACGCACCACAAACACGAGTGGCACACCGGCGAAGGCCGGGCAGACGGCGACGGCCACAGGAGGCCGGAAGCCGCCAACAGAGGCGAAGACAGAGCCAAAGAAGCACAGCAACCGCGAGCCGGGACACAGCGAAGGGGCGGCGCGAAGGCCAAACCAGACGAGCGCACCAAAGCCAAAGGGGTAAACCGAAAAGCAGCCGCGGCCGCGCAAAGCAGGAAATCCAGAACCGGGCCCATGAAGGAACAAGAAGAGGAACGCGTCCAAACCCCGCCTCCCCATCACGCGGTAACACTGCCAGCCAGCAGACCCGAGAGCACCGTCCAGCAGACTGCCAGGTGGGGGACCAGGCACGGGAGGCGGTGAAGAGGCGGGGAGGTGAGGAGGCTGTGAGGAGGCGGTGAGTGTCGGCCAACTGAGTTGCATCAGGCGGCCTGTTTTTAAGGCTCAGACTATCATGGTAGCACGGGTCAAGCATCTGGTTGGGAACAAGCCTGAAACAAATCACTGATTTAATGATTGACCAGAAGGGCCTTGGCCATCTACCTCATTGGTTGGCTTCATATCTGCTATTGTCGAGGCTTGATTGCAAACAATTTCTTGCCTGGCTTCACGAAGGTTTCAGATAATCAGATCTCAAGGCCGACCAGCAAGCTTGGACTTGATTGGCGGAGACTATGGATCAAGCGATCAAGGATTTCAGCTCTTCTTCCCATCCACACCTACGGATGATTGGCCACGCGCATGCCTACTTCGGCTCCGCGAACTGAAGACCAATGAGCACCTACGAATGATTGGTCACCTGCATGCCTACTTCGGCTCCGCGAACTAAAGACCAATGAGCGCGCACTTTGGAGCTATAAAGCTGTTGGCCGCATTTTGCGGAAATCTGCTAAAACCATAAGAGCCAAACGGATTCAAATTAGGAATCAGGCTCCATGACTGCTATCAGTATCACTGCCTCTTTGACCGACTTGGCGAACACACAAAAGCCGCGCTGCGGCGTGCGTGTGTGCGTGTGTGTGTGTGTGTGT